ATCTTGTTAACAGTCTTCCTCTTTCTTGCCGAACCTCTACTTTACCAAACATGAAGTCCTTTTCCAAGGACAGGTCCTTCCTGATAACATGTTCACAGTACGTGAGATGAAACCTTGTTGTGCTCGCTTCTATGGAGCATTCTGGCAGTATTTTTTCCAAGACAATTATTCATTCTTCTGGCAGTCCACGGTCTAGTCAATATTCTTCACCAACTCCATAATTCAAAGGCATCAGCTCTTCCTCGCCCATCTGTATTCACCATCCAGCTTTTGCATGCATGTGAGATGAGTAAAAATACCATCACTTGACTCAGGCTCACCTTAGTCCTGCATTTCCTTGTTTTATCTGGAGAATTTTCCTTATTCTTAATAAACTCAATCTTAATTTTTAAATGCGGTCTGAAGTGATGAATTCTCTCAGTTGTTTGTCTGATAATGTATTTTGTCTTCATTTTTTAAGGGTATGTGTCCTGGAAATAAATTTCTAAGTCAGCAGTTAATTTTTTTTTTTTTACTACTTTGAAGGTGGCATAGTGTTGTCTTCTGTCTTCCATCTTTTGAGAATTCAGCTGAAATCTTAGTATTTCTCTTTAATGTATCTTTCCTCTGTTTTAAATATTCCTTTTCATTGATTTTTATAAAATTTACCATGAGATGTGTGTAGTTTTCTTTGTATTTATTCTGTGTAGGGTTTATAGGACTTTTAGAATCCAAAGCTTAATACTTTTCATCAGTTTTAGAATATTCATGGCCATTATGTTTTCAAATATAGCTTTTTCCCCATTATTCTCTTCTCTTGGGTCTCTGATTTCATAGATGTGAAATCATTTTCAGTGTCTCACATTTCTCCTATAATTTTTGTACACCTTTTACCTCTCCATGTTTCCACTTTCTCTTTTCTTATAACCTATCTTTCTGTTTGCTAATTGTTTCTTCAGCTGTTAGAACCTTTTGAAAAGTTGTTAAAGTTCTGTTTTAAAATGTTAAAAGCTGTTAAGATCTGCTTTTAAACCCATATATTAGATTCTAACTTTCAATTTTTTTACTTTTCAATTCTAGAATTTCCACTTGACTCTTTTATTAGATTGTACTTCTCTTGCGAAATTCTCCCATTTGTCTCATATTTTTTAAAACATATTTATAGCAATTCTTTAATGTCCTTATCTGATAATTCCAAAGTATATCTTACCTACAGCAGGGGTCAGCAAACTACACCCTGCCAGCCAAATATTATAAGTATATAACTTACCAAACAAACCAAACCCACTGCCATGGAGTCGGATCCTACTCATAGCAATCCTCCTTGGGTTTCCGAGGCGGTATCACTACGGAAGTAGATTGCCCAACCTTCCTTCCGAGGAGTGGTTGGTGGGTTTGAACTGCCAGCCTTCTGGTTAGCAGTCACATGCCTTAGGCACTACGCTACCAGAGCTCCCAGTATATAGCTTAATGAATTTTTAATTATGTATACACCTAACCATGACACAAGTCAAGATATTAAAGTTTTATGGCACTCTGGAAAACTCCCTTGAACTCCCTCAAAGTAAATAAACAGTTGTCAGTTGCCATCTAATTGATTCCAACTCACAGTGGCCTTAGGCATGCAGAGTAGAAATGTGCTCCATAGGGTGTGTTCAAGGCTGTGACCTTTCCCAAGTACATTGCTAGGCCTTCCAGTGTGCCTGTGGGTGTGTTCAAACCCCCAGCCTTTCTGTTAGTAGTCAAGCACCTAACCATTTGTATCACCCAGGGGCTCCTTCAAAGCATATTTGTTGTTGTTGTTGTTGTTATGTGCCGTCGAGTCAGCCAACTCATAGTGACCCCTCTTTGGGTTTCCGAGGCAGTATCACTACAGAAGTAGGATTGCCCAACCTTCCTTCCAAGGAGTGGCTGGTGGGTTTGAACCGCCAGCCTTCTGGTTAGCAGTCAAGTGCTTTAGCCACTATGCTACCAGAGCTCCCATACTCCCTGCCAAAAATAACCACTCTTCTGACTTAGAGCACTCTAGATTACTTTTGCTTGTTCTTGAAAATTATGTAAATGAAATTGTACTGTATTTACTGTTTTGTATCTAATTTTTTCCACACAATATTGTGTCTGTGGAATTCAACATTGTTGCATGTAGCTATGGTTTATCTTTTCTATTACTATATAATAAGGGGGAGCTCTGGTAGCATAGTGGCTAAGACACTTGCCTGCTAACCAGACGGTTGGCTGTTCAAACCCACCAGCCACTCCTTGGAAGGAAGGTTGGGCAATCCTATTTCCGTAGTGATACTGCCTCGGAAACCCAAGGAGGGGTCGCTATGAGTCGGGTTTGACTCGACGGCACATAACAACAACAACAACAACATATAATAAGGAGCTCTGGTGGCTCAGTACCTAAGCATTTGATTGCTAACCATTGAAGGCTGGCCGTTCAAACCCATCAACTGCTCTGTGGAAGATAGGGCAATCTACTTCCATAAACATCTACCATCTTGGAAAACCAATGGAGATCTCTCAATATAAGTTGGAATCAACTCAATGGCAATGAATTTGGTTTTTGGTTTTTTTTATATTACTATATAATATTCCATTGTGTGAACAGTCCATAATTCATCCATTCTATAGTTACCTACGTGACAGCCATCTGTTTTGTCTCTTATATTTTAGATTTGTAACCTATCTGAAATTGTTATATTTCATGTTTCTCCACAAGGATATTCAGTTGACCCTGGGCTATTTATGCATAAGACTGGTATTTCCGTACTGCACTTTGTTGTAAATGCTGTTAATGTCACTTTGGTGACTGTGGCTTTGTCCTTAGTGTATTTTATATAGAGCCTAGCAGAGGAATTTCAGGGATTGGAGTTCCATTTCATCAGGGATTATAGGTGGTCGATTCTGATACCAGGTGAATCAAGTATGCTGGAGAAGAGATTCATGTTTTAGGTAAAAGGTTTAGTGGAAATTTGCCAAGCCCCCTTCTCTTTGTCTATACAGTTCAGTGTTGCTACTTTGGTGCTATAAATCCTCCTCCTACTTAGTGGTTTTTTTTTCCCCAGCTAGCCTCCCCCTAGCTTCCCACTGCAGCTGAAAAGAGATGTACTGTATAAAGTCTCCAGTGATGCAGAAAAAAATCCTGAAAATTGTTAGTCTTGAACTTTCAATAGATAAAAATATAATATTTTGTTTTAGTTCTGACTCTTGGTTCTTCTTTTATGTGTTGAAATGTAGTGTTTCTTTCACTTTTCATTCTTTGGAACTGTTGAGTTTTTTTTTTCCTTCCTTACCTAAGCATTTATTAATTTTTTAAACTTTTATTAATTATAATATTTTAAAAGGTATTGTAATTTTAAAAAAAGAGTATTCTCCCATGGAACAGAGATAAAATATAGAAAAAAAAAAATGTGATGTGGCTTTAAAGTGCAAGTTAAAGATGAACAGGACAAGAAATTTTATACCAATTGATTGTTAAGTGGCTAACCTCCCTGAATTATTTATAAAGGTTTAAATATATATATAGACATAGTTTGAAACATGGGTGGGAAGGAGAGCAAGGCCCTGGCTCTAAGTTCACCAAGGTCTCAAAAAAATCACGAATCAAAACCTACCTATAAAGATACACCTTATTAGTTTTGTGTATTTCATTGTACATAAATTATATTTCAATAAAATGCATTAAAAAAAAAAAAGATATACCGTAGACTTAGTCACATGGAAACCAGTTCTCTGTGCCTTTTCCTTTCTAAACGTACAGCTGTGTAAAAGGACGGTAATCTCTGGTAATCCTAAAGTCAACATATTTTATTTACTAAAATGAATTAGAGGAGCCCTGGTGGCACAGTGATTAAAGTGCTTAGCTGCCAACTTAAGGGTCAGCAGTTTGAACCCATCAGCCACTCCACAAAAGAAAGATTTAGCAGCCTGCTTCTGTAAAGCATTACAGCCTTGGAAACCTTATGGGACAGATCTACTCTGTCTAGTAGTGTTGCTATGAGTCAAAATTGACTCAACAGTAGTGGGTTTTTGTGGTTTTCTTTTTGGATTTGGGGAGTTTAAGGTGTATTTTGCCACAACATTCAGTTGAGGAATAAACCAAGGAAGATCTTCATAGAACAGACATATTATAGGTTTCTAGGATATTTGTACTAGATAATATTTATTACTCCTAAATAGTATATTTGTAATTATCATAGTTATTGATAAATTTATAGTGGTAACATTTATTAAATTCTTCCTAGGTGCCAGGATTATGCCAAGTTCCTTATGTAATTATCTCATTGAACTGTCTCAGCAATCCTAGGAGTAGGTACTATTTTTATCCCTATTTTATAGGTAAGGAGATCAAAGCTTGGCTTAGAGAGGTTAAAAAAAAAATGGAAATTTTGGCTTTAGCCACATGACCTCATGTACTTATTATGTCTCTGATTTGCTTTCAACTTTTATGTGTCACTAAAATGTCTCAATTTTTTTCAAATAGTAGTTGATGCTAATAATTATTCTATTATAAATTTTGACATTTAGTTTCAATATTTTTACTACTGTAATCTTAATTTTCAGTAATTTGGCATTAGAACTTGAGCTAGTAAAAGAAATGAATGAGACCAATATTCTTTTTGCAAATTCTTCTCTTCACTGAATGATAGTCCATTTTTCACAATGCACAAGTATCTGGAAATGTTTTATTTATTGTAACTAACTGTGGCAGCAGCACACCTGCTGAAGGAATCCACATTCAAAGGCTACAGGAACTCAGCCTTTGGTGTGCCAAGCTCCCTCTTGAGCCCTGGGAAAGCAGCCTTTAATTTTAAGAACATGAATGATTGCAGGATTTTTAAACAAATTGCTGGATAAGTAGAATTCTCTTTAACAATTTCTTGGTAATAAGTTTAAAAGAAAGAATTAAGCCAAAGGCAATTTATATGCACATTTGATATAAAATTATCCAAGAACATTTTGTGTGTTCCTTCTCCCTCCACCACCCTATTCTCAGCAAGCTCTCCCTCCACCCACAGGAGCTGCCTTATGAGTGTGGAGCCTGCCATCAGCACCAAGTACCTCCCTTACCAGAGCTTCCAGCTCTTTGGCTTTGATTTCATGGTGGATGAGGAGCTAAAAGTGTGGCTCATTGAAGTCAACGGCGCCCCAGCTTGTGCTCAGTAAGCCTGAACACTGTTGTATTTTGGAAGTCATTCTAGCAGCTGGAATAGTTAGTCAAAAGTGGTGAGCTTGCTTATTACTGAAAGGGTTCAAGGGTAGACCCTTTAACAGCTGTCGGGAAGGATGTCACAGTATTAGGAGTCCTCTGGGAGGAATCTGGCTGGCACAGGGTTTTGCTGGACCGTCTCCTTTTCCATTGTCCTCATGTGTGTTGAGCAGTTAGTCTGTGCTCAGGTGGGTGGTAGATGCAGTGAGAATTTCAAGCACAGCTAATAACTGCCATAAGACACCTCCCCTGTGACAACTTGAGCAAGCAGGTCCTATAAGTGGGAGAGGTGGTAATGACCAAGAAGTTCCCTATGCAGAGAATGGTGTGTAGAGGCTGGAGCTGGAGTTGAGATGTGAAAGAAGAGCATGGTCAGATACGCCAAAGGGAGCTGAGGAAAGCCTGTCAGAAAGGAGATGCAGTATCCAGCGGAACCTGGCCCTGTGCCGGGCTCCAGGCCCATCTGGGAGATGCACAGGTGAACAGGACCTGCCCTCAGGGAGCTTCTTTTCCTCCTGGGGAGGTGGCCTGCCTACAGCACAGTGTTAGTGTTATGGAGTAATGAAAGATGAAGGTGAAAGGTTAAGTTAGGGCCACACTATGGAAGGCCTTAAATGTCACAGGAAGTCGTTTGGGCTTAATCTTCTTAAACTCTTGGTTCTGAATATCTGCTTTTATCATATCATTTCCCTGTGCAAGACCATTTCATGCCTCCTCATGTCTACATCTTGAAGCAATTTAGGTGATTTTTCTAAAGATTTATGAAAAGGTCTTGACTCTACAAGGGGCTACGTTAAAACTCAAGTTCTTTCATTAGAGTTGGGCCTTTGCCACTGGCTTGATGGCTATAATTTGGCAGGTGTGATTCTTTCTCATTCATCATTCCTTACAGTTAACAAGTACTCAGTAGGTACCATTCAGCCTGCCAGGCCTTATAGTTGGTCCTAGGTTCACAATGGTGAACAAGAGAGACATAGTGGAAAGAGACTGTAGGCATGATAAAGGATCAGGCAAATAAATAATCATTACAAACTGGGACAGGCATTATAATAGTGTATGCAATGTTTTAAAATATAATTGGGTGTTGTTTCCTTATGTTGTACACGGGGTCTCTATGAGTTGGAACCAACTTGACGGCACATAATAACATCACCAATAAAATGTTCAAATATGAAAAAAATAAATAGAGATAATTGAGCAAAATTCTGATGAGGAAGTGATGTGTGGGACTGAAATCTGAAGGAGCAATGAGGAGGTAAGTAGGTGATAGAAATTGTGTTGTGTTACAAGTGGTGGAACAGAAAACAAACATTCTCTCTTTTAAGCTTATGATTTTTTACTGGGGAGGGTTCCTGGGGTGAGGTATGGTACACTGAGGTAGGCCTGGACATGCACCAGGAACCCGTGCCACACTGACACACTGAGAGGCAGGAAGCAGAAGGGGTCATGTGCTCTTGTTCTTTTGCTGAAAGAGTAAACTTTTTTTTTTTTTTT